TCTTCTCCCCCCTTCCTGTCCTTCCCCCACATGTTGGGGGGGGGGGAATTGTCCATCATAAATTGTTGATTAAAAATTTAAAAGACAAGAGGCTAAGCCTGAACCCTTAGCTATCCCATACTGTGCTGAAATAAGATACTTTTCTGTCTACCTGATAAGTCTTATTTGGGAATAAGCTTTGTGCCACTGGATTATACCTCAAGTATATTGGGATGGTTTCTTCAAAAATTTCAAAAGAGGAGTTAAAATGACCACAGGAATGGAAAAAGCCCTCGTCAAATTAAGTTACTTCTGATATTCCCCCCTCTTATTATTCATTTATTTTTCCATAGTAAGTGTAACAAAGCTAATGAAAAAGAGCCTTATTTCCAGAGATGACTACAGCTCAGTACGCTCCTGTATACTTTGGCAGTGCCCTTCCTCAGGACAATCCTTGGACTCCGTGTTTGGCACAAGCTGTTTCAGTGCTGCTTGGCCACTGCTTCCCAGCGCCCCTGAGATGTCCCAGCTGGTTGTCCAGTCCTGATGCATCTGCTTTATCTGGTGAAACTCCAGACATTTTCTAAGAAAATTAGCCAATTTGGCTAACTAAGCAATATAAGCTACTCTTCTGCACCGTATTTTTGTCAGGTATCTCCTTGAGTGATGATTTAATTAGTCCCATTTGAAGAAATAAAACTGGTGTTAGATGATGGTTGGTAGGGCTGAAAAATCCAGCCTCAGTTTGTAGGGACTTAGTACCTATAAATTGGAAGCCTTGTATCTGAAGGAGAGAAATAAAGAGCAGATATAATAGACAATTAAATGGACTTTAAATGAGCAGCCACACCTGTCTTATTAGTGCATGTCATTTTGAATTTAGAGTGGTATTTCTTCATTTAACTAAGCTGTCTTGATGCTGAAGGGGGAACTGCTTAAGAGAAAATGAGAAGTTAATTGGAAATTTACAAGGTCTTATTTAAGTGGCCAATTCATGGGAAAGCCATGAGGACCAGTGACAAATGCCTAATTTTGCAGGATGCAAAAAGGGGAAGATGGGGGAACTCTGGCAGCTCCCCACAAGCTGATGTGACATCCTGCCCCTCAACTCCTGTTCTCTTCATAGACATTCAGTTAAGGCATGGTGATAAGTGATCAGTGTTGGAACTCCTAAAAAGCTGTGCAGAATTAGGGTAATATGTTTAAAAGTGTTTGGTCAGTAACTTGCACTAAAATCATTCAGTTTTTAAAAAGGGTCCTATTTTAGAGCTGTTAAGTGAAAACAAACTAAATCTTTTCAGAAAGTATAGGAATGGAAGACTGAATTCCACAAGAAAACTTACTGGATAAGCATCAGGATCAATTCTGGGGGGGAAAAAGGGGGAGAGAAGAGAAGAAGAAGAAAAAAAAAAAACTTAGAACTGAATAATAGTCCCCACCTATATTCAATGGTGAAATACAGCCAAAAAATACAAAATTACAAAAAAAGCTTAAAAATGAAAAATAAATTGCACTTCATATAATCAGTATCAGTGGCTGAACATTCTTCAAGGAAACTGAAGAAATGGGGAAGATTTACTGGCAGCAATAAGGACAGTGTTAAATTTTTAGAGTATCAGAAACAAATAGGCTGACATTTTCATTTATTGACAAGATTGATTAAACTTAAAGGGAGATAGGAAAGACATGTTTTAAGTATTTTCTTCATCTGGAAAAGTATAAGGTATTTTTGAACACAATGAGGTGTCTCAGTCCACTGACAAATTGAAATTTCATTACATCTACCAGAAATATGATGTCTTTGAGATATTCTAGAGGTCTTAGGCCCCCAGAGCTGTAAATTCTCAAAGCAAATATCCTGCGTCCTGATGTTAATTAACAATAACAGAACTGGGGAATTCCGTAATTCCATAGCAAAATGTTAACGTTGTGCCAGTATTCCAAGATGGATAATCAAGATAACCATAAACTAGTGACTATGACACTGAACCTCAGTGACCAAGAAAATAATTTGTGAACTGGCAAATATGAAATGCAGAAGATTTAAATTCAATCAATTAGCAGCTTACATTTTATGGAAAACAGATGTTGTCAGATTTGATCCTACCTTTTCAAATTACAAGTCTTATATAAATGAAATTGCAAGGATGTAAGGGCATCTATGAAGTATCTATTTTTGAATGCCCACTGGTTTAAAAACTGGAATAGGATATTTTCTAAAATGTCACAAATGATGTTTTGAAGGTTCATATTAAGCCCATTTCCTATGGTTATCTAAGAATAAATATGTAATTGACACTCATGAATGATTTAGTGGTTGCCAAGACACAAAACTAAAAGGCCAGAATTGCCACTGACAGCAACCAAGTTAGAGTTCATTAGTATTAGGGGTGTCACATTTAATGTAGGCACTCAACATCTCTGCATATTACTATCCCCCAACTTAAACTCTTCACAGGAGATAGCTGCAGGCATGCAATTCTGTGCATAACTCTGAATTAGTCCCAGACTAAGATTTAGGTTGTGATTTGTTGCATAATTATTACTGTAAAAGCAAAGGTGCAATCCCTTTACCCACGGTGCCAGGAGGGAATGTGACATGGCTGTTCCCAGGCGTGCATCAGGGTGAGTGTGCACTGTGGGATCGCAGGAGTGCAGTGGGATTTCCTCTTCCCTTTCCTAGTTTCTTCTAGGAAACTGAAAGCACCCAAAGCTAAATATATGTTGAAACTCTTAAATTCAGTCACTCAAAATGCCCTCTTTCTTTAGGCTGCTCAAAACATCCCTTCTCTGCTTATTACTGAGCTCAAATTACACCAAAGAGTAGTGCAAAGGCCAGGGGAACATCACAATTTCACCCATATTTTCTAGCATCTGTACTGCTCACAGGTGCTGCTGTAAGGGCAAGGAGGCTCTGACCTAAGGTCAAATCACAGGGCAGTTAGGTGTTGGTGGAACAGAAGGGGCTTAAAAACCCATGATTTGCACATATGGACCAAACACGAATACAGTACAGGCATCTCATTTTTCAAAATGATTTTGGAAGAGGCAAATATGTGCCCAGTACATCTCCTCAATCATTGTTGTTTATTCAAAACATTTTTTATCCATGTTTTCTAATAATCACTGGAATATTTTAATTGGTTACCTAAAGAATAAAAACAACCAAGCCCAAGGCTTTTAACACTGTGCTGTATACTAGTCTCAGTCTTTCCGTATGTGATCTTCAAAACTTACCTGGAATCTTTCTAAATCATAATCAGTTTCATAGGACAAATCTCTTTCTTAAACTTTTCTATTGCCTATTCAAAATTAAAATTTGCATAGGCAATAGAAAAGTGTATTCCCCAAAAATACCTCTAAAAAAATCCATAGCCTGTCTTATCCTGATTTAGAACCTCTGAAGTGACTAGCACTGTTCCTCTACTGAATATTTCAGTATGCTGCAGTCTGCTACAATGTTACAGGATACCTTTTCTTCACTTGCCAGTTGACCTTGCTTCATCATCTGCTGACATTCTCTCTCATGTGTTCTTTAATAGCAGAGTGCAAAGCAAGTTGGTGAAAAAAGGGGGGAGGGAGGAAAAAGGGAAAACCCAATCCCAAACTCCTTTGATTTCCAACTATCTCTGCAGTCAAGGTCTTTTAAATAAATTGGTGCAGTGATACTGCATTCACTATGGCACTTGACTATCAGCCATCTGCATTGTGCCCAAGGTTAAACTCCAATGTCAGGAGATCTGCAGGGAAGCTAGAATCATCTGGTAGAGCTGCTGCTGCCCTGGTGAAACAGGAAGGTACAGACACCATTCTTTGTCTACAGCCAAAAGTCAGAATCTCCTTATAACATATTACATATGACAAATCATTCATACTTTATTTGAAAAACATTGTGGAATAACATGAGAATGCAGGGATTTTAAAAGGACATTAAAGTCCCGTAGCATCAGGAATATCAACAGCACTAGGATTTAGAAGTGACTTATGTGCTTTGGTATTTTTTTCTTGTTCTTTTTAAAAATAGTCAGACATTACTGAAACACTGTAGTAGAGAATACAAAACATGTGCAATTATTTCCAAATACTAAACCGAACTCTTGATATGTCTATTGAAAAACAAACTACAGATGTGTTTTGAGAAGGAATGTGAAAGGCTTGACAGTCATGTCAATGAGAGTTGAGTACCCAGCTCCTAGGGATGTTCCAAGACCCACAGAATAAGCAGCTCTGCCCTTATCTGTTCTTTGCTTAACAGGATTTCCATGTTTCCCATATCTTGGAATGCCAATGCATGAGGCACAAGTAACTGCTGCTGCTATGCCCAGAGTCTTGCTTTTCTTGAGTGTATTTATTACATTTCTATGTTAGGTATTAGAATAGATTAGTTGTTAGTTGCTGTCTTGCATTAACCTATGCGCTCTCAATCATGCAGTATGGCCACTCTATGTGTGTGCGTATAGATGCACAAAGGAGACTTTGCACTTAAGGACATTATTTCAACTTATGGGCAGCTCATCCTGTATGGATGAACAAGGGGCTTGTTATAAGACTACAAACTGCTTGTGTAAGCAGTAGGAGTAGTCTCAAAGACAGCATAACAAAGCTGTAAATTTAAAATAAGAAATTAGCATATCCACTTATGGTTAGTCAAAGAATGCAGTGGGTATCTGTGATATTCATCAACTCATTCAGTGACTTCTTATCTATTCCACCAATTGCTGAATTAATTCATTACAAATAGTCCTTGAAGTTCATGCCATGTACTCTGAGTCTCCTTAAAAAGTGGTCATCTCAATTTATGTTAAACTACTGAGAACAGTTCATGGGAAGCCACCAATCCCATTAAGTCATTAAATGATGAGTGAGTACTGTTTCATTCACACTGCAGTGAGATAGCATATATAGTACTATTCTTCTTAGTGGCTACTCCTGTGAACAGCAGCACCTTCTTTTCAGATTGCAATGAAATGTTTGAGCTCCAGAGCCCTCTCTGCTGCAGGCTGCAGCTGTGTGCTCCTTACCTTCTGCTGCCTTGATCACGTATCCGTTCTCTTCGTTCGGTACATCCAGAAGCTGCATGAGTCTGTCCAGCAAACCATGGATGATCTCAAACCCTGGGTTCTTGTTGTAATAAAGGGCACAGAGGTGCCGGTGGTTTCTTGCCCCTACGTCTGAAGAAGCAGCAGCATAAGTTATTTTCTGAGAAATTTTATCACACTTTAAATTTTGCCTTTTGCATCAGTTTCCTTCTGTGATATAGTGAGGCGGTTAGTGCTTAAAAGAAACGATGTGCAAAATACCCACTCTGACACCCAGCAGAATCTGAGGAAACAATTGGATTCCTTTTAACTCAAGGGACTCTCACAATCAGAAATATGGGTTTAAAGCATACTATATGTTGGGCAGGAAACAGTTGCTAAATACAAACATCTTCTAACCAGTGATACATACCAAGCATACATTTACATGCTAGAGAAATTCTGAGCAGACCAGCTAAAATAGAAATATTTGGCAAGCATCAAAAAGCTTGTGACACTAAAAGAAAAAATAAATTTTTATAAAATTTGGTCTCAGAGCAGCCCACAAGTTGAAAGATTGTGTTAGCATGGTGATCTGTGAAAAGATCTGAAATCATGCAGGCTTCCAGATTGCAGCTGATGCTTTTCATGATCATCGTGGAAATCCCCAAATCCAAATTACTAGGAAAAATGTGCTACATTTCACCAATTCAGGACTGTGACAAATGTCACACTTAGGACAGCTCTTATTGCTGTGACTCTGCTGAACTGATTTTGCAGATTTTGCCCCCTCGGGCTGTTGAATCTAGTGCCTGTGGAAGATGCAGATAGGTTGCACCTCTCATGTATTGCTATGTTTATTGCAACGCAAGCACTTAACTCCAAAGCACTGTGTCTGCCTTGATTCAGAAACCTTGCCTCTGCTGTGAAGTCATCTTACACTACACACTTCATCAAAATATATTTTTCTTTTTTATACTGTGCAGGTACTTTTAAAATCAACTTGTAGTAATGTCTTTAGGCTGCACCATTGCCACACACTGTTTAGCACTGCTGAGGTCTGCTAAGAAGCTTTACTTGTTGCTGATTCTAACCTTTTCCCTTTTTGGAGAGAAATGATCTAGGAAAGGAATAACAAACCTGTTGTCACAAAGCTGCCAATTCAGTTGCAATGAAATTCAAAATACTGATTAACATGGTAAACTGTTGCCTCCAGGCCTTTTCCTTTTCAAGGTTCAACTGTATATGTATTCAGCCAGACTGACTTATCCATAGAGTAAATTCTTTTGAAATCAGGGAAGGCATTTTTTCTGTGACAGTCATCCTCCAGAAATTCATATGCTTTTAAAGCATATTCAGTATAAAGGTGTATTACATCTCATTTTGGACCAGAACTGAATTTGTGAAGTAAATATTCTGATTATCCACACTTAACCATGCTTCTATTCATATTGTAAAGAAAACCTAGAGCATATAAACTGGATTCCTTTCAGCTGCAATTAAACAAACCTTTACATATGCATGTATGAGCATATAACTGGATTCCTTTCAGCTGCAATTAAATCCAAAGCAGTGTTCCAGACAGGAACATAACTAGCTTTAACCACTAAAGAGCATTCAGCACACATGATTTGACTAGAGCTAGTCCAAAATAGAGCTTAAACACATATAACATGGACTTCAAATCATCAGCCTTATCTTCTCCTTTTGCACTGCACTGCTTTGTAATGTAGATACATCTGGCCTAACAAGTTAGACAGATTTATTACTTGGACAGGATGATGTAACATACATAGATTTCTTCTTTTCCAGGCTTCCTACAGCATCTACAGTCTACTAGCTGGTCTAGTAGTGGGGATAGCTAGATGAGTATTCTCATTTCCTTCTCTTTTACCTGATGGTGGTTAGATATAGGGAGGAAATACAGTCAAAAGTTTTCTCAACAGGTCATGAAAGCTGAACTTCCTGCTGGAGCAATGGGTGCTGCATAGTGTCACTTAAGAACTTTTTACTGTTACAATAGTAACTTGTAGTTTTCAATAATGATGGAGTGTCCAACTGTGAAGTTTATGTGGAAATGGCAAGCCAGAATATATCAACAGGGAATATATCAATAACTGCAGCATTTGATCCCTGTCCTCTCTGTGCACACTTGTCTTTTGATCCCAACATTGTCTCTCTTTCCTAGCTCTGCCAAGACCAGTCACTACTTCGACTATCACTAATTGCTATCATAAATATGTTTGTTTGCCTCTAAAAAAACAAGTTTTAAGATTTGATGCTCTACTTTATTTTGGTGATTCATTACATTAGAAAAATCTGCAGTGATTATCTTAATTTCCTTTAATTTAGTCAGTGGTGCCTTAAGATCACTATTTTTAACTTAGAGACATACACAGCATTTTTTTATACTTCAAGATTTGCAACCAACTGTAAAAAATCTTGGTAAAGGATGCCTTTTCGAGTATTCCAAAAGGCTATGTGTTATGAAACATACTCTTGTACAGAGTTATATCAAAACACAAGAAGTTCATTCACTACATACCACAGGAAGAAAGAAGAAAGTATTAGGGAACTGTATGCAAAACGCTGGCAGATGTTAGAAATGCTTCAGTTGTTTGTAACTCACTTAAGAGATCTCCTGGGTCATGCCATGAAACAATTCTGGTTTTTAAATGAGTCTGCCAAGTATGTCAACCTAAATTATACATATATATGTATCTGAGACTTCAAAGCACTTCCTGGAGATGCTGCTGTAAAACAATCCCAAGGATGGGTAGCTGGGTAGGAATATGTAAGCCAAAGAGCGCAGTGGAAGATAAAGTGGTGTCATCTGTTGGCCCTAGCAAATTAGAGATGCTTCGGAGAAATGATGTGGTGAGCTGAAAGGGGCACCTGTTCCTTTAAATAGCTTAATAAAAATACCAAACTATTTTCTGTATAAAGATTGCAGACAGACTTTTTGGAAAAAATGCTTTAAAATGTCACCAGCTATCCTCACAATTGATGCAAGTTATGTTAAAGGTTACTGAGGGCTTCTCAGATTCAATTAGGTCACTGGTGAAAGGTCTGTGTGGTTTTTTTTTCTTTTTTTTTTTTGATTCATTTCTTTCATTATGGTAGAGGAGTGAAAGGGAATTCTCTGCTTTAACTAGTGGTGTAAAAGTGATAATTTATATGTTGAACTAGCATTACTAACTGTGCTTCTAGAAGAGCCTATATAATGTTACAAGCTAAACCAAACAAAAGAAAAAAATATTCACTGCTGTATTTCCTTCTGCCCTGAGAAGAAACATTTATGTTCAGAATTGGTTCTATTTAATTATATTAAATCTGGCACACATTTCGCTTATTTATTACATCAAACCTTTCTGCCAGATATGTCCAGAAAGAAAAATGTTCTGTTCATGCTGTTCACCTTGGTAAGCATGAGTTCTGTGTAAGAAGGTATTCAAAAAAGGGCATTTAAGAGCTAGATTCATTCATACATGAATGACTACAAGATGCCATTTCAAATGCAGTTAAAGTCCATACTCTGACCCATACTTTTTAAATTATTAATTGGAAATTGTACATGCCACAATCATGAAATAATAAAATTAAATTAGTCTGATGACATAAGCCTTCTGCAGGAAATCTCATTCCGTATGTGAGAGGACAACCCCGCATTCTTTGGTGTTTGCAGAATTACCTGTTGTTTTTTTCTCCCCACCCCTTTCAAACTATTTATTAGGCATTTTTAACTTTGGAAGCAAATTTGGGAAAAGCACTAGTTATTCTAAATACACCACTAAACAATTTCAATTATGGCTCATAGTCTGCAAATGTCCACCCAATGAAAGGGCTGCCCTGGAGGGCAGGATACAAAGCTGCTGGCTCAAGTCTTATCTTTCATCTGCTGCAGTGGTTCTGATCAAAATGAAGGGCACTACAGAACCAGACTTCATAAGACTGTTAGGCAGCCATTCATATAAAATGAAAGCTTAGCAGAGCTACAGTTAACACATACAAAATTAATCAATTATTTAACTTGCAAATTTTATGAAGCCAGAATAAACATTCTCCATATTCCAAGATAAATAGCTCCACTCTCAGTCCTGAAGAATGCTAATGCTATTCTGCCATGCCTACCAAGTTTTTTCCATACTAGCTAACTCATGCCCAAGGAGAAATGAGCTGTACCACTAAACTGTCTGTATTTAATAAAAAAGTCTACATGCTTTGCTAAAACCACTTATTTTCCTTGGCAAGGCTTTTTTGAAGTAATCTACAAATTAAATTAATCAACAGAGCAATTTACTTGCCATTTTGTTTATGCCTTATATAAATCTTTGTTTTGCAGATCCCAAATACCTTGAGCATAACCACTAAAATCTGAAACCAGATAACAGAACAGAACCATTTTTTGCTGCTGAATTTAAAGCAGTGTCAGCCTTTCTCATTGAGAGGCAAAAACTGATCCAGAGTCATACCCCAGCTGTCATCCCCAACAGTTGTACCCGTGCACTCCTTTTCCACTAAGGTGCCATATAGAAAGAACTGAATCAGTAAAGTTCTTTAGAAGGCATTTTGTTAATATTTAAAAAGTCCACGTATACAGTTCATTTTACTTTGACACATTTTATCTAGATAAAAAGACTGTCTAAAACTTTTAGACTACACAGTGAAAGAAATAGGAAAAGGCCTCATCACCTAGGAAGAATTTCACTGAAGCTTTTGAAAAGTGTAGCTGCTTCATGCAAAACAATTAAGGTTACAGCATGATGGAAAGGCAGGTATGTGCCCTTAGCACAGCTGGGTCAAGTGGAAAGATAAGGAAAACTTCACTTCCTTATACAGTTTTACACATAGATTTGATCTAGTCTTTATTTAATATTTGTGGTACACATCTAACTCTTAACATTGGTTGTCAATTCTTCAGAAAATAATTCTGGAGAACAGAACAAGCAATCCTGTTTTAAGGCCTTGCTGGAGCAGGGGGTTGGACTAGATGATCTCTAGAGGTCCCTGCCAACCTGAACCATTCTGTGATGGAATGGTGGGCAAGGGATTCATGTCGAGGCAGGTAATCATGCCAACCCCTGCTTTTTTCTGAGCTATAGATCTCCATCATAAAACCAGTCTGCAGCTATCATTGACACTTCCTGTGAAAGCTAAGGAACCACCTCTTACCTGCAGTGTCATCTTTTACTACAATGTCAGAAATCTCAAAGAGTTTCAGGGGCAAGGGCATCTTCCGATTGGCAGCAATAGTTTTCAGCAGTCCAGGAAGGAGGCTTGTCCGTGCCACCTGCAGGACAAACTCAGATGCTGCAATGAAGCTTTCCAGCATAACAAAGACAACATTTCCCAATTTCTAGTTTTGCTCATTTGTGACAGAATTTAAAAGCAGGAATGTGCAAATATGGCAGTAATCTCTTCTGCTTGAGCATCTTTGTTATGATTATTAACCCCCCAAGTATATTTTCCTTACAGACTGTATACTGTATTTTCTGAACATATACATGACTTAAAGCATTTTGCAGGTGCTAGACCTACAGTGCAGAGTAGGATAATGAACAATACTCAAAAAAATTGCAAAGCAAGTTTCCTTAGAATATAATCCTACTTATGTAAATGGTAAATACTAAGTGATAATTTGTAAGCATTACATGCTGAAATATTGACACTTCTGGATATAAATCACTAATACGGACAAACTTAAGCTCAGAATATCTGATGATACTTTGTTTAAGCTCTCTCTGTCCTAGCAAATATAAAATGATTAAAAATGGATGTTAAGAACTGAAGAACAATATATTTCCCAGGAAAAAAAAGAGTAATAATAGTTAACCATTTTTCAGAAAGCATACCCTCTGCAGAAGTCAGGTTACAGATTGCCAGGTCAGGTAACTCCATTTATGCCAACTAGCATTTCTAAATGTGGGAACTGATCAATCATCTGGGTGGGATTTTCTTTAATAAAACAACTCAATTTGGCCCCAGGCTGTCATAATCTGTATGGTACCTCACTTCACTGAAAAGTTAATGACACACTGAACACAGTATTACTGAGTGCAGCAGTAACCAGCAAAATGACGCCTAACAAGTATGGCATAGGAATATCTATATCCTTTTCATTTAAAAAAAAAAAAAGTTGTAGATGTTATAAATATTATCTTCGGCTAGTTCCATTCTGTCTTAGATACAGGATCTGTAACACCATTACTGTCTCAGAATTGGACTTAAGTTGTCGTCTCACCTGAAATTCTGCAGTTTTGGGGTTTGCTATCTTTACTGCTTTTGTTGCAGAGATATCCATGCCAAGTTTATCTGCAATATCTTCTTGAGAACACTAAGAAGAGATGGAAAAAACAAACAAACATCAAAGTCAAGCAGTTAAAATAGACAGCGAGCCAAAGATGAAACCTGATATCAAGAATGAACAATGCAAACACAGCAGTGGTTCTGGGGCCCCATAATAAGCTCTCTCATATGCAAAACTGAAGTCATAAATTAAGCCCCCGCCTTAAGAATAAGTGGGCAAACTGGTTTATCTACAAATGTGAATCATTAAGTAAAATAATGCTACTTAAAAAAAAAAAAAAAGCTTGCTGAGGCTTCTAAGGGATTGCTGCCATCTGTTTTAAAAACAAAAGCTCAGGTTTTGTCCTCTGACTTGCATTGGCTACAATATTTTATTCTGAAAATAGTGTATATAAAAGGAATGATATCCAACATCCTCACAAAGAAAACAATTCCCTGGGTCTCCGTGCGGAAAGTAAAGGACCATGCGTGAAAACAGGTCATATGGCCATGCCCTCAATAGTCATGGCAGCCTAAGATTCTCATAGGTCACCGTTGTTTTCATTTTTTTAAGCTGGAATTTGGAACCTACCGAAGTGTGGACAGACCAAATGTGAAGAAAATGAGCAGATGATACCATCTGAAAAAGGAGGATTTTTTTGAATAGAACAGAAACCTTACATAAATCAGGTTTTTGACTTAATGACCTTAGGAGCAGAAAATTGTGTTCAACAATTTTCAAGTGGGTAGCTAAACTATAATATATTGCTATGATGCAATTAAACACATTTTGGCTAAATTAGGGCCTCTCCCAGAAAAGGGGGCTGTTCTGTAAGGGTGATTATTTAGGGTCAACCAAAAGATGGATTGAGTGCACAAATACCGTAACAGTGCTTGCTATGTAACAACAGGCTACAGAATGTTGTTGTGTAAACGATACTGGTCATAGACACAGGACTAACAGCTGTGTTTTAGTAAAGTGACTGACTCAGTAGACTGTGGGACAGCAGAAATACAAAAAGGTGATGTAATAACAGGGCATGTTGTGTAACCTTACAAAATTCTAGTGTTGCAGTTCAAAAAAGGTCCTGTTGTGATGATGTAATCATCATCATCATGTCTGAATTTCAGAAAATGATGGAGAAACTTAACAGAAGTTTGAATAAAGCACGGATGTGATGGTGGCTCCATGTATGCTAAAATGGTCACAAGTTGCCCTTTGAGGCAAAGGCTTTCAGTCCTTGAAATACAATAATACGTTCTCATATTTTTCTATCCCCAATAGCTGACTATGCCGATATCACCATACTGACAGCTATTGTACCCTTTTGGGATGGAAGGAAGGAATTTAACTCTTTTTTTTTTTTAATGGTAGATCAAGTCTCTGATACAGTTCACAGATACGGTGAAGAGGTAAGAAAAAGTGGGAGTAACAAAGATGGCATTCACTACTGAAAGTTCATCAAATAACCCTGCTGCTAAATTGCTGTATTAGAAATTATACTAGCTGTTCAGATGGCACATGCTTCTGGGGCTGGGGAGACCTAGGTAAAGCCTATTCACACTGCTGCAACAAATAATGTGATAATACCACCACTGCAATCACTGTTGATAATGAGTAACATTTTGTAATTGCTCTCCCATGAGAAGAAAAACTCACAAAATTTAGGGAGGCATTTGTGTTCCACTAGTGCGCATTATGTCTTTTTTCCAGGAATTGTTAAGACTTTCTTGAGAAAAATGCATGCTGGTTTATAACACTCCATACTCTCAGTAGTAAGCTAAACTAAAAAAAAACATAAACTAAAAAACATACTTCAACTATTTGCACTTCTACACACAGAACTACAGGCCAAATTAAGAGTCAGTCAGTCGATTTCTCTGACCCACGACTCAATATGATGATGTAATATCAAAGCACTAGCAACAATCACCTGCCCAAATAGTATCAGCTAATACTGGAATACATGACTATTTTCTACAGTTTTGACTGCATCCCTGTTCTAACATGCAACTAAAAAACATGAAATCAATATAATATACCAGGGCAAAAGTGAGAACTTCAGTGAATCCAGCAGCTGCCAAGTCCAGTCTGAGAAGTTCTGTCAGCTTATTGAGAGGGAGCTAAAATGAAACAAAAGTTAGTTTACAACTTCCATCTAAAAACACTTTTCTATTCTTTTCCAAAGTGTTTCTACCTCTTACATTACAGCGAAGTCACTAGGGAAGTACTATGCTTGTGCACTTAATATTTTTGAAAGCATCAGCCAGCTGCCTTCAGGCTTGCCGGAGGAAAAGAATCTCCCAATTAGAGATTTTAATATGGGCTCCCTATTTAAATCCTGTTTTTTCTTTTTTGAGTACCAGCAACCGCTGATCTTGGACTTATTCAAATCAGAGGGGCATCTGTTTTGTATCCTACCCATGGTAAATACTTCTCAAGGCAAAGCATGTCAAAATATTTAATTCCTAGGTTCTGTTTTCCCCAAAGCCTTTCTGGCGCGCACTAGTCATTTACTGACAACAGAGCATTTATTTGAAGGGGCAATCTTACTTGATTAGCTATGGTGTACATTTTTGGAATAGTCATCTGAATGTTGTTATAACCATAAGCTATTGCTGCATCTTCCATGATATCACATGCGTGGATAACGTCCGCTCTGGTGGGAGGGATTTCAACCTCGATATGGCTCCCATTCCCTATGATGTGTGACTTGAGGCACATCCTAGTCAGCAGCTTTGCAAGGTTTGATGGAGTTTCACTGAAACAAAACAAGAGTAGTAATTTACAGAACTTAACTGTCTGTATTGATTTTTTTTAAGTAATCAATGTATCTGCTACATTGCCTTATATTCAGAAGGATCTTCAAGTGCTTTATGGAGTGCATATAGACTTAGGAGTCCATCAGAACCAACTATCACAGGAAACATGACAGTCTTTTTTCCCCTTTTCCTTTGCAAGGATGGAGAGAGGCTGCAAAGAATCACTCACCTTTTATGAAAATATGGGAAGAAGACTTGAAAAGATGATCCAATTACCCACAATAACTTTTAAATTTATTTTCATAAGCAAAATTATAAAGTGTAAATCTCTTTAAAATAATGCAGTAATTAATGTTTTCAGTTAGTTTTATCATGATTCATGTTTATCAATAGAAACTATGTTTCTGTTTGCAAGAACAAACCTGATTCCAATTTTTTTGTTAATGTACTCAGGTTTCACCTTCTCTTTTCGGTAAGCCAGTTCCTAAAAAGAAAAGATAAGATTTACAGAATACACAACACTTGTCATTTCTGCCTAAAATAATTTAATTTAGACATTTTGCTACTCTGGCTTCTAATTATGATACCAAAATGGCATTCGCAGAAGACAAGTGTGGTACATTAAACCTAGTATTTCAAGATAACAGGAATCTTGAAAATAACATTGTAGCATGTGATGTGAAAGTTGTTCTCAGCTAAACTAGAAGTTTGAATGTGGCATGATAACATATACACAAGTAACTGAGTTTCTAAAACTTCCTGAAAGTTTTTAGTCACCAGTTTATCCTAAGAGAAAGCCCTAAAGCAGTGTGGTCATGCATGAGACCTCATGCTTTAGTACAGATCAAATGACTTCTAGGAAGAAGAAGAAAACTTTCTTTTCTCTCTCCAAATTCACACATAAATCCTTTACCAGTGTTTTCTTGAGGAAGGTCATAATAATTTTAAGAAAATTATTTGCTATGTAAGTACTTGAAGAAGGTGCTTCCTTCTAGATGCTTGAAAACCTCAGTGGATTTTTTTTCCTCTATTTTATTTAAGGAAACTACATCAGTTATTACAGGAATTTTTTCCTAGTTGCACATGTGCTCAGGATTCTTTATCTTTTCTCTCATAATGATAGAAGTGAAAGCTAAGAAGAATTTTTTTTCTTTTTAGGATTCATTCAGGCCCTGGGGCATGCAGATATTACGAAAAGAAAAAGCTGAACCACAACTAGGAAAAATTTCAGTGAGTCACTTTCCTATAATCAGGTTGCACTTCTTTAATATATTTGATTTTATGAATGTAGCTACATCTCTATTTGTATTTATGTTGTCGCTTATGGGAAATAGGGAGGATTGTTTCTTTACTTATTCACATTATCAATTACTTATTAAGAGAACAAAAAAAGTATGGGGCACTGTGTTTTCTTCTGCTAGAGAAGAGCCTGACTCACTAATACCTGAACATTCACAAACAAACCTCTTATATTGTACTTCAGAATCTGCACATACTAGTTACATAGAGAAAAAGTAGACAATGTCACCCTAATCAAACTTTGTGAAATTAAAATCCTTTTTTCCAAGGACAGTGAGATATCCTCTCACTATACTTACTGGATATATGTGGGCCTTCCCATTAGGATAAACCACTTCTGCTGCCTCAACACTGTGAGAGATAGAAAAGGAGGACTGAAAATGTTTTTTAAGCATGTACAAAATATAATGTATTTCTTACTAGAGATTTAAACTCACCTGAATGGCTTCTCACAATATTCACTGAACATTGTGACTAGAATATCAAGGACAGTTTTTGCCTATAAAAATAATAACCACATTGAAATCTGTCAGCTATTTGTGTTAAATTATACAAAATATCACAACTGACAAAAAAGAGGAAAAAAAGTTCTCAGCGACTGTTCATTCTACTCTAGTAATTTAACAGTAACCAAATACTAGTAGTCTAGAATTGTTTGAATTTTAAGAAGTGTTGTATTTTGGTTTTCAAGGCTCTGAAACATTTTTGTGTTTTTGCTAAACTGTGTTCCCAAGATAAGGTCTTTACTACCCATTGGTATTGAACCTTCCCAACCTTTTGTCTAACTGGGCATTTCGCTGAGGTTCAAATGCTTAAGAATATACTGTCGATTTAACTTCCTTTGCAAACTCTTTTCTTTGAGGGTTATTTTAAGGGGTTAGGATAACAACACAATCATGAGATTCAGATCAATATCCACAAGGCATCAAAACAGTCTTCCAGTTGGAGTATAATTTCTTTCACCTAAATAGATGGATAATTTTTTTTTTGCTATTAAAGCAAGCAGCAGCAAAAAGCTGACTCATTAGCTTGCTTAGAAGCCAATCCTCAGCATGCAAACTTACTTATCAGTCATTAACATATCATTGTGTAGCTGTGTAAGTTAAAAGAGGTTTTGCTCTTAAATGTCAAGATACCCACTTCAGGGAAATTATCAAAGAATGCACAACATATTTTCAGGAACGGGCAATTATAACTGCTTGGCTTTCATGCTTCAGCTCTGAGTTACTGAATGTGCAGATGAAAGACTTCTGTTTCACCATTATTTGTCAAGCATCCCTGCTTGAAAAAGATAACCAAGTGGAAAGAGTCTTTTTCCTTCCCTCATTCTAAATTTAAGGAGACAAAATGATTCTTGGCAAAACTTTTTTTTTCTTCAAAAAATACCTTTTTCACAGCCATTCAGATTTAGGAAAGTGTTCAACAGCAAGAAAACCTCCTAGTTTATTTACATTCCCTTTTTTGTACTGACTGAACACTTAGTGTCAGCGCAGAGATGTAATGAAAATAAAACACAAAGAAAACACCACAGTCTGCACAGAGCAAGACTAGAGCTGTTCTGGGAGAATTTTAAACAATCCCACAACTTACCCTGCTCTTTCAAAAAATTTAGTGTGTTCCTTAAGGTAAATGCCTGTTTATTGTAGCTCTTTTTACTCAAGTTCTATTACCCAGATAGAAAACAACACTATCACAGCATAATATAAAAAGCAGGAAAGTAGGAAAGATTAATTTACCTTTGTAATATCGGTGCCTGTGCATTCAATGAAGACATTTTTGGTGTTTAGACCTATTTTTGTATGATCTCCTAAAACATGTAAAGACAGCAACATGTTAAGAAATGTTATTACTTTTCTTGAAATGACACTGGTATTGACTCCATGTATGATTCAGCAAGACAACCGTCTTCTCCACTTAAAAGCCATTATTTCTATTGAACTGATGTTCACAATTCCTACCAGCAGCTCTTTATTTTAAAATTTGTAAATAAAAAAGTAAAAAGTCTGCATGGTAGAGCATTTTGTCTAGGTAAGGCATGCCAGACTGAGTGAAGTGGTTATATCTGCACATTTAAAGATAATGCAAATCTACATGCATCCAACTGAGAAAAGCAAAGGAGCAAAGCAACAGCCACCTGCTGGTTACACACTGCTTGTGCAGTTGCACTTCCAGGGGACTTCATCTTTTCTGGCTTTAATAAGTATCACATCTGCTTTTGATAAGGAAGCATGGAAAAGCAGTCTTGGTCAGGAATGAATGAAATTGTTTTCAAAAAAAGTGAGTTAGACCGACGAATATCCAAAGTTACTTTCCTGAAGAATTAAGACAACTTGACGCTACCTCCTTAGACATTCTAAGTTTGTCTGCACTACTGCTTTAGTGCATAGGAAGGGCTCTTTTTAGGTATGAATTTTCTGTGTGCCTGTACCTGAGCCAACAGGTATGCACTTGGAACTGCCCCTGTGCTAAGGTAGGCAAGGTGGAAGATGCACTTAGGAACATCACCAAAAGCAGCCCACTGGCAAACTGGACACAAAGTCCCCCAGTCCCCTTCTACCTGGGGAGCTGTATTAGCAAGGATAGGCAATCCTGAGTGGCTGCACAGACGTCTGCTTTGTGCTGTCTACAGGTTACAAATGTGCTGTGCATGCTTTGGATGAACTGCACTGTGAGCAACCATGCACTGTGGATATACGGTCCTAGAAGTTGTGTGACTGTCTAAAAGTACAAATGGAAGGTTAGTTACGAGCTTAAAAAAATAATTCTTACACCCTCCTTTTAGCTAAATGACTGCTGAACAATATATCTACTGTTCCTCTTCTGGGCAAATAAAATGTTTCTAATGAAGAGCCCTATCACCAGGATCCCTTCCTGAGTTTATACCACAAAGACACAGAAGAATAAGAAAAACTAAATGCAGAGTTTTACAGTGGGAGTTCTGTATTCTCTCCACTGAGAAAAGAGGAACACCAGCAGCCTGGGGGAGCAAAAAAAAAAAAAAAAAAGGGGGGGGGGGGAACTGTGTTTAACCTAGAGGAAAGAAAGAAGACTGTATGAAATTCTAAGTGAAATATTTTTTAGGAAAAAAAAAAGAATAATCCACAATATACATCAGCATTTCTCTCAGACTCTCCAACTCGCACTAGATTGAAGCAACAATATAAGTTAGTCATAAATAAACTTACCATTGATGATTGGTGGCATGGACAGAACAACACCATTGCTGTCATAAATGACAGGATAAAGTGGCAGGTCTTCAATTAGGTGCAAATAGTGTCGAAGGTGGCTGTCAGTCTGGAAAAACAGGGCATAAGCTGAATGTCCTATGAGTTTGTGGGTGAACTTCCCTCTTCTAGGATACAGAATATACAGAGTTTTGCTAGAGGGCGGTAGGTGGCTTAGAGTGAGGTGCTTCACTAGCTAAAGCTTTTTGCTCTCAGAAGCAAAACTTTAAAATGAGAGAATAGGATTCTGAGTTTTTAACATTTCTGAAGAATACAATATTGTTAAGGGATCTCCCACAGATGCAGAAGCTATGCTGCCATGGCATGCTGTGTACCACAGCAGATACCACACTGCCAAACCTAAGGACACATATTATTAGTTCATAGGAACTTTCCTTAGAAGTGATAAAAATTACACTACAATACTTACAATTATTAGTTGCTGAATATTAGCGTGATTGTACTTAAATTTGATGCAAAATTTACACGGACTTCCATAACACAGTTTACTTTTATTCTCTCTGATACTCCTGGTTTCCAGGCACTCTCACTTGTCTGCAATTTAGTCAGAGGTGTTTGAGGATCTCTTTAAAACCAGTATGTGTGTTGCAACAGAGCTGCATAGTGAAATGATGGTAATAACAGCATCAATTTCAAATGCTGACATTTAAAGAGGTCAGTGAAAACACTGTGAAATTAAACCATCTTGATTTTTAACTAATATCTACCTGGTTTCATTGCGATGCTAGGCCAAGAATGGAGCCTAACTTGAGCCTTGTGCATAGCTATGCTTGCTTAATGTATAGTTGGGTACATAACTGAAATCTTCTACAAGTAAGTTGATCAAATTCAAGACATAAAAAAAATATATATTTAGCTCATTTTTTCAGCTTTGTATACAGCTTTTTTTTTTCTTAGCAGTGTAGATAAATTCGTAATCCTTGTACAGGAAATAAGAATGAAAATCAAGCTTTGAGTTGACAAATTGCTGGGTTGAAATCAAAACTAATACTCTAAGAGTTGTGTTTAGCCACAAAAAAATCATGGTATGTCTTTCATGGACAATAGAATTTAAATATTACCATGGCTTTCTCATGAATAATCAAAATGTGAAATGTTCCCTGGCTGAAGCCACAGAAGATAACTGTGGTTTATTATTGACATCTTCTATTAATACCAGGGATGCTCAAAAATGTTAAGCCTTGAAAATGTAGCCTTGTGCATCCAGAATGGAAGTCTGAAAAATCACACTTACCCTGTACAGATCCATAAGTTGTGAAGCTGTGTATTCCTGAGATTGATTCAAGGGCTTGAATTTAATTTCAGAAGGTGCCTTAGCTGTGTAAGTAAATGGACCAGTGATAGTGTCCAAGTCATGAGTACCAATTGCTACTAATGCTCTTTTCCTACAAAGAAAGCAAGCAAAATAATAGTAATCAGTAATAATAATAGTAGGATTTGGGGTTCCTTTGAAATGATATCTCATAATACTCTGTATTTCCTATGTATTTATGAAACTTAGCAAAAAAGTGTAACATCAACTTTGATAAGGCTACAATTACTTCTACTCTAGTGATGAGATATAAATATTGACAATAGACATAACAGTCAAACTGAAATCTATGGGGTCTGTGACAAAAAAAGCTTCTTTCTCACTAGTAACACCAATCATAACAGCTACTTCTATTGAAATAGAGAAAGAGGAGGCAGAAACAGACATGGTAAATCAGAAGGGTCAAGAATGCTGCTATAAAGAACTCCCCTTAGCATGAATATAATAACACTCTCTAATATGGAAGGGCAGTCTTAACATGGTTTTACCACAGTGAACACATTATACACATGGACACCATACACTAGTACAAATTTAAAAACTAACCTGCAAATATTTTGGTGGAGTTTTTCTTGGAGATCAATGAAACTATCGTAACGTTCTTTGGTAAAGGTTATGTTACGGAGGACTGCAGCAACAGCATGAGGACGGATTCTGGCAGTCTGTAATTTACAAAAGCAACACATTATAAACTTCAAATGCACAGAACATACAGAACAAGAGCTTACTCTTTAGTTTTAGTTTTGTAAGGCAGTAATAGAAAGGAAAATTCACAGAAATACACTGCAAGTCTGGTAAAGGTGGGGAGGTTTTCAGCATACTGTGTACTGGCTCAGAAAGCCAATAGAATGCAAGCATCTGAAAATTAAATTTCATCTGCTGCCAGCTGTATGCAAAATAATTTGTATAATTCTTTCCCCTCCTCTTTCACAAAAATAAATCATGCTGAGTAGAAAATGTTACTTTAGCTGTTGTTCTACAAACTAGATTTCTTATCTCACTGCTCTTATAAAATTGGTACTGATAGTTCATACTTGGTGGCTGAGAAACTTTAAATAATTTTGCAAAGCTGCAATAAACACTTTTACCTCTTCAGTGATAATCAGCCTTTGACCTTCACCCTTAGCTGGCACGATCTTTCTGTACCTAGGGATACTTATCCTGGAATAAAAATGGAAATAAGTCTATAATTGAAAGTTTCAAAAATGCAATTTTCTACAGTATGTTTTTAAGTGTGGTACACAATGAGTATATGGTAAATAGATAACTGAAATAGGAAAGAAGCCTTTAAAATGATAATGTCACAGCAGAGAAATGAAATTAATTTATATTGATGTTTACTAGAGTAGAGGGAGGCTCCTGTACAGAAGTTCTTTACAGGTGATAGGTCTCAAAGGGAATAGCAAATGAAAAAAAAAAACTAGTCTAGTCTTTTAAAATTATATAATAGAGTCTCTCCAGAGAAATAATTGTAAAGTATATAGACATGTATTGACATATGTATTGACAAATCCTCAAAAGCCTAACAAGCAGCTAGATTATTTATTGATGAAAAAATGGACTCATATTTAAGCAAATGAGAAAACACAGAAAAATCTCACAGCTCTGTTACCTTTCTTTAAAGACTTGCAGTCCTCGGACCAGTCCTTCAAGGCAAAGGAGATCATAACGGTTGGCAGGAACGTCAATTTTATAGAGAATGGTGTCAGATGCCCCCTCAGCCTTTTCATCGCCTCGTTCTTTACTTATAATAGTTTTTTCAGATGTCTGGAATTAAGCAAAAAAAAGGGCTTTAAACTTGAAATACTAAAGCTGCCAGCAGTATGCTAGTAAGAAAATAAAACAAACAGACAAACTATTTAAACATGTAAATCAAAAAAATGTTACTTACAACTTCATCAAGCTCCAAACCGAACTCAAAGCAAAGCTCATCAAATTCTTCATCAGCTAGAATTAAAACAAAAAAAAAAAAGAAAAAAAAAGATTAGCAGGCCTCAGTATCTAAAAATGCAACTTTATGCTTATTGTGAATGTTCTCAAATGAAAAGCTCCATGATATTTTCCAAAATTCTACCACTTTGTTCATTGACATGTTCTTGCCATTATAGCAAAGGCTTCCAAAGGTGGGTTCGTGCCCTTGCTCCTGGCTCTTCGCCCTGGCTTGCCAAGGAGCTCCTTAGCTGAGAGGCTACGAGAGGAGAGCACGAGGGGAGAGCTGGGCCGGTTCGGCTGCCAGCCCCCAACCTGCCCATCAGTCCCCTGCAGAGGCTGAACAAACCCCAGCAGCACAACTCTGGCCTGCAAACCTGCGCCTCGCACCCCGCCCTAAGAGCCTGCCGCGAGCCAGGCGCCAGCTTAACGCTGCGCGTCGCTGAAACGCCTTTTCCCATCCCGCCGAGCCCTCCCCGCAGACACCGCAGCTCGGCCCCGCGTGCTCCTCGCGTCCCGCGTGGCCGGAGCCCGGGGCCGGGCCGGGCGCGCTGCCCCCCGCCCGCACTCACTGTAGGTCCTGCCCAGCGCCGCGAAGAGCGCGTCGCGCTTCACG